TCTTTTGCTGTACAGAAGCTCTTTAACTTGATGTAGTCCCATCTATTTATCTTTGCCTTCACTATTGTGGTGTTGGGTGCTCTGTCTTTAAAGATGTCGCTGAAGTGTATGTCGTGTAGTGTTTGACGAGAGGGGTCATCTTTTTATAGGCCTCCCAGCTCATGCAGAGAACACAATGAGAGGGTTGTCTTTATTTCTTAAAAGAGAAAAGGAACTTTCCACCTTTCACCAGTTGATATGAAGTTAAGGGATTTTATCTAAGGAAACAACTAGGAAATGCACACAGAAACTGAGCAGAACTGTTTCTGACATAAAAAACAAATCATAGAAAGTGACTCATCTCCCTACCAACAGGGGCTAAAGGAGCAGGGTCTGGACTGGGGCCTTTTCCGGCTGCCCCCAGTTCTCTCTATGGAGGACACTGGTCTTTTCAAACTGTCAGCTCAGCTCTGTGATTTCTGTGTTGTCTCCCTCTTCACCTGGTCCCAGACAAACAGCAGAGCACAGATTCTCTTCCGAGCAGGACCTGTCCCACCATAGGAGCTGGCTGACCCAGCTAGCCCTAGGCATGGTAGAACCTGTGGACTTCCTGAGGGATAGATACCACAGAGGTCTGCTCACCAGGGTCTCTCAAGGCTGCAGACAGGCCTAACCAAGCCAACAGAGCATGCTGTGCCCATCAAGGTCTGGCTGGCAGTGGACAGCTCACGAGGCATTGCATCACCACCACAGGGAGGCTAAACACTGTGCACTACCCCCTACCCCAACTGCCCACAAGTTCAGGCCTGCCAGCCTCAGCCAGGATCTTTGCCTCCACCCAGTTTCCAGCCTGGGGCCCATGAGCACCTGGGCATCTTTTCAAAGACAGACTGATGGAGACTTGACCTCGAGCCAGAATGAGAGCATCATTGGAACTGGATGTCCTTTCTTGGTGGAAAACTGAAAATAATCAAGAAATTATGAGACTACCCAAAGGCTTTCAGGCCACTGGGCACCAGGTGAGGAGAGGGAGGACTCAGATGAGTTCCATGATGGGTATCCCAGAAGGAAATTGCAGCCACAATGCAGAGAAGCCAGGCAGGCAGAAGCAGTGGTAATCTGCAGCTAAGAAGGCCAGTGCAAGCCTGTGAGGAGGGGCCTGAGGTCAGAAACGAAGAACCAGAGGGAATGAAGGACAACTTCACCACTCACAAAGGCAGCAGGTGGAGCTGGATAATGCTCTCTGTCCAGCCAACAAAGCTTAAGGGCAAAACCTGGAAGAATCAGTCTGTTTCCATGTAACTTAACTACACCCAAGAACAAAGGAGAACACACCCAGGAGCAAAAGCACCACCTCCCAGCATTGAGCACTGGCATCTTGCCCGCAAGGGGGCAGGAAGCCAGCCCATAAGAACAAGGGAAGTTCAGAGAAACACAGTGATGGGCTGGATGGAGCAGGACTGGTTTTCATGGAAAATGCTAAGGATGGGATTTAACATGTGAGGTGAGAGGTACACAGGATGGGACCAACACAAAAGAAAAGATGAGTAAACAGGAAGACACAGCAAGAAGACTACCAAAAATGAAACGTATGGGATAGCTCCAAGGAGCCCAGCCCATGGCAGTTGGAGGCTCCAGGGAGAGGAAATAAGTACAGAGCAAAAGTATCTGCTGGAAAACTTCCAGAGTTGATGGAAATCCACATATACTAGCAGCACAAGAAATATGAAGAAAATAACACCAAGGCATATCACAAATTGTTTAACACCAATGATGCAGAAAAAATTGTGACAAGGAGTTTCTTTGGCAGTAGAGGGCAGGGGTACAACATCTTCAGAAAACAAACAGGGCTGTAAGTGAAAAATGCTCACAAACTAAGGTAAGATAAAGACTCCGGATACACAACAGCTGAACAAATTCATTACTGCATCACAAAGTGTTAAATAAAATCCCCCAAGCAGAGGAAAAAGAATCCTGATGGAAATGTGGATTAACAAGGAGGAAGAAAAGCACCAAAGATGAAACTAAGTGGACAAACAGAAAAGACTTTTTTCTTATTACTAAAATCTTAAAAATAATTAATTAAAGAGCATCCCTGGTGGCGCAGGTTTTAAAGTGTAGTGCTTCCATCCCCAATCGAGGGTTCCCTATGCCCCACACCTCACCCCCACCTCCCAGCCAAGGAACTACTAACCTACTTGGCCCAGCAGACCTCTGTCTTGTCTGCCCACCTGCTGCTCCCTTCAGCACTGGATCTGCCCCTCAGTAGATCCCACTTTTTCTCCCCACTCGGTCTCTGGTGAATTTGCTCATTCCCTGCACCTCTAGCCTAGATCCCAGTTCTTGCATGCATAAATAAATTAAATCTTCAAAAAAATTAAAGATTCAATGCAATCCCTATCAAAATTCCAATGGCTGTTTTTTCAGAAATGGAAATTTATAAAGAATTGCATGGGGCCCAGAAAAGCTAAAACAACATAGAAAACAAAGTGGAAACTCCAATTCCCAATTTCAGAACTTCATTCAAGGCTACAGTGATCAAAATAATGTGGTACTAGACAGACAGAAGCATCCATGGAGTACAGGAGTCTAGAAATCAACATCCACATTTGTGGTCAATTGATTAGGACACAGACACAAACATAATTCAGTGATAAAAGAATAGTTTTTTCAACAAATGGAGTTGGGCCAAAAGGAAACCCTTGTGCAATATAATGAAGTTGGAAACCCCACCCCACACCATATACAAAGATTAACTCAAAATGGACCAGAAAAAAAAATGTAAAAACTCAAACTGCACCTCTAAGAAAAAAACACAGGGCTAAATCTTCATGACCTTTCAAAATGAGCATCAACACAAAAAACTGGATTTCATTAAAAAAAAATTTAATTGTATGTCAAAAGACAATATCAAGTGAAAAGAAAACTAGGTAATAGGAGAAAGCATTTTCAAATCTTGTATTTGATAAAGGTC